ATATCAATCATGCTTTACGGTTTTAAGTACGATATCCTCATCTCACATTTTCCCTCCTTTATGTCTGTCTTCTAAATTTAAATGGATATCACTCCCATGTGAAAATATAAAATGTTCTATCTACAGTCTCCAGTTTCTTGTGGTAAAATTATTTCAGCAAGAGGCACTACCGTGACTTTTTTTTTTTTAAGGGCAGCCCTGCCCCCATCTTTTTTTTTTTTTTTTTTAACTGCAGTTTCTCTTTTGTGGTCTTCTGCCTTTGTTCCTTAGAGAAAAAGCCAGCTCGTGACCTGGCATGATGCCCACTGCAGAAGCTTTCTGGTAACTGCATCCCCCTGGGCATGCGTGTTTGAGCAAGTGTCAGCAAGGTGCCCGCCTGTGTGCTCATGGCAAGTGGTCTGTCCTCACACCTTCACAGTGAAGTGGCGGACTTGGATCAAACTCCTCTCATCCAACATGCTCACAGAAGCCCGGTGCTCTCGCAGGAAGAATGAGAATTCTCCAAATGACTGGAACATGCATTAAACTCTTTCTAGTTTTCATGCGGAGGTAGGAATTTTTACCTGCTTTTATACTTTTCTGGTCAATTCTACTGAAAACTGAAGACAGGAATTTGATTTCTAGTACGATCTCACCAAAATAACATTTTTTTTTGAGTCTACTGATCATTTTATTTTTTGTGTATGGGAAACTTCATCAGGAATATGTGCAACTACAATGAAAATAATTCACTTCAATCTCCAAATGGCTTCCCTTGAGGAGATCACAATCTCATAGCAAAACTTGCAGTATGATTTGCCAAAACATTTAAGAAACTGTATAGCTGACCCTTGAACAACGGGGGTTTAGGCGCACCAGTTCCTCTCACCCCTGCATAGTCAAAAATCTATGTATAACTTTTGACTCCCCCCAAATTTAACTGCTAATAGCCCACTGGTGACCAGCAAACTTACTGATAACATACATTTGTATGTTATATGTATTATACACTGTATTTTTACAATAAAGCTGGAGAAAAAAATATTAGGAAAATCGTAAGGAAGAAAAAATATATTGACAGTGCCGTACTATAAAAATCCACATATAAGGAGACCACACAGTTCAAAACCATGTTGTTCAAGGGGTCAACTGTAGTTGACTTCTACAAAGTTAAACTCTTTCTACATGATGGAAAAATTACTGATAGGATATAATGAATTGAATTAGTATTCTTTTAATTTTCAAAGGGCTTTTACATCTTTTATCACATTTATTTTCACAACAGCATTACAACATCATCTGGTAGATAGGATACATAATAAAAAGCACATTTTCAGATGAAAAGCCTATGATCCAGAGATAACTTACATAAGAATTCTGCCAAGCAGTGGCAAAGCAAGGACAGAAAGGAGTCATTTAATTAAGTAAGATAAGACTCAGGATATTTACTTAATTTCTAATGATTTCAAATAACATAAATAAACTCCTCTCACTCCAAACTTAGTTGCAGCCATTCATTCAACTCATTCCTGTATCAGATTCCTTACAGACAGGTTTGATTCTTGATATGTTGGCCCCACAAGATAAGGTTTACAAGGTACATAAGATAGACCACTGAAAGAAAATACAACACTGTCTATTTCTCTTTGAAAGAGAAAATTGACCTTACTTTAGAGGACATTAGAATACTGTCTGCCCAGGAACCAAACTCATTATGGCAGATTAAAGATGGCAGAAAATTCTTTAATTCTCTTCCCATCAAAAAAAGGGGGCCCATGCCCCTTCTCTTTGAATCTGGGTACTCTCTGTGCTTTGACTAACAGAAAGAGCAGAAATGGCCCTGCCAAAACCTTAAGAAACTGGTAGTTTCCATTTCTGGTCTTTTGAACCTCTCTTTCTAAGCACCCATGTAAGTATGAATACCCTGAAACCACCAAGCTGCAGAGGTCCCGTGTAGACACTCTAATCAACAGTCCCAGCTGAACCTAGTTTTCCAGCCATTTCCACCAGACACCAAACACATGATTCTTCAGACCAGACCAGGCACCAGCCCACTACCACCAAACAACTCCAGATGACACCACATGGAACATAAAAATCTCCTAGCCAAGCTCTGCCCCCAAATCATCATCTAGCAATGAAACGATTGTTATTTTAAACCACTGAGATAAGTTGTCATGCAGCAGAAAATCATTGAAATACTTGTCATCCTATTTGAAGAAAGTCTGACTATAGATGAAAGGCAGGGCTCCACTTCCCAACACAGAAAAGTCAAAGTAGAAAATACTTTTTCACATCCTTGGTGAGTGAAATGCAAGTGTGTGACCTGAGTTAGTCAAACAGGAGCCTAAGTTCAAGACTCTGAACCATGAAAAGAAGTGACACAAAGGAGAGGTAAAGTTAAAGGAAATTCAGAATAACTGCAACAAAGCAAAAAGTCATTTCATGCAAAAGACCATGAATAGCCAAGAAAATGTTGAGGAACAGTAATAAGGTGGGGAGCCTTGCCTTTTCAATATCAAGACTTTTCATTAAGGCATAGTAATTAGGATAGTGTGGCTTTGGCTCAGAAATAGACACTGAGACCAATGGAACAGAATACAGAAACTGGAAGAAGAACATGCATGTATGGAAACTCTCCTATATGACATAAGAGGATTTCTAAATTAATGATGAATAAACAGGGCTGAGAAAATTGATTGTCTATGTCAAAAAATAAATAACATTGAATCTTTACCTCAAGCATATGCTGCAATCAATTTTAATTACATTAAAGACACAAATAATAGTTGAAATTGAAAACATTTAGAAGAAAATACAGGAGAATCTTTTTTTACCTCAGGGTAGGGAATAATTTATTAAATTTATTCAAAATAATAATCAGAAATAATGAAAATTAAACTATAACAAGATTAGCAATTTACCGTCATCAAAGTCCATAAATAAAAGGACACACTATCGACTGAGAAAGAGATCTGTATATAACTGACAAAGGATTAGTATCTAGAATATATACAGAATTTTTCAAATTAAAAAAAAAGACAACTCAAAAAAATACTGCCAAAATAAAGGAGCAAGAAATGAACAACAACAAACAGGAATGAACAGTAAATACTTGAATCCATGGTAAACTTCAAAAGCAAAGAAGAAAATGCAAATTTAAACCACAGTGGGATGCTATTTTACACAGATTACATTGGAAATATCAAAAGTTTGATAAAAATCAAGTGCTAGAAAAGATATTAGCAACTTGCTCCTTGAAACACTTGTAGGGGAAGAGAAAATTGTTATTCTCACTTTAGAGAGGATTTGGACAACATCTAGTAAAAGTTAAGGCATTTACCTTAAAACCCAACAATTCCCTCCCTGTAAATACCTTATAAAAACTCTTTATATGTACATTAAAAATAAGTAGAAATATATTAATAGCAAGAAAACAGAAATCATTTAAATACAAATCAAGAGAAAACACAAACTGTGAGATATTAATATAACATTATTATTCAACAGTGAAAATGAAGGTATGAGACCTATACAAGGGAACACAGATTATCATAAATACAACACTGAATTAAAAAGCAAATTGCAGGGGTACCTGGGAGGCAGAGTCAGTTAAATGTTGGACTCTTGATTTTAGCTCAGGTTATGATCTCAAGGTCATGAGATTGAGCCCTGCATTGGGCTCCATGCTCAGTGCAGAGTCTGCTTGAGATTCTCTCTCCCTCTTCTTCCCCCTCTGCCCTTCACCCCTGCACTCTTTCTCTCTAAAATAAATAAATAAATCTTTTAAAAATAAATAAGTAATAAAAAGCAAGTTGCAGAAAAACATGTAGAGTATGATACCACTCAAAAACTTTTTTTAAAAAGCAAAACTGAACTACATATACATACAAACACAGTAAATCTATTTTGGAGCAAGGAAAAATAAAGAGCAAATTTCAAATAGTTATTACATAATGGAGCAGGATGAGGGATTTTTTTTCTATTAATGATCTATTAATATGGTGTATGATGTTAATGGATTTCCTAATACTGAATGATATAAGCATATCATTATTTTCTTAAATAGTATTATATTCTTAATGTAGTATTAGATTATGCTTGCTAATATTTACTGTTTTGCATTATTCATTAGTGATCTTGACTTAAAAATTTCTTTATGTGTGTATGTACTATATTAAATTTAGATGTCAATGCTTTATAAGAAGAATTTGGAAGTTTCCCATCAATTTCTATAAATTTGAACAAAAACAGCACTGAGACTGAGTTTGGTAAAATTCTACTGTGAAACTAACTTAGTATCTTGATTTTATGTGAGGTAATCTCTTGATAACTTTATTTCTTTAGAATTTCTAAACTGGCTTCTGAGTCCAATTTTGACAAAATTCTATTATCCTTGAAACTTAAGCATCTAGGTTATCATAAAAGCATGAAAAACAAAAAACTCTGAAAAACTTAATTTTTTTTTAAAAATTACTATTTCAATATATTCCCCTTATCACCTCTTTATCTGTGTATATAGTTTTTCTCATATTTTCCCTTGATAAAGTTAGCTGATTTTTTTATTAATTTTTCTCAAAAAGAAAATTTTGGTAAACTAATTAGAACTTAGATCTTCTGTTCTTCAATGCCTCATTAATTTTTGCTTTTATCTTTGTTAGTTCTCTTTCTTTGGCTTTTATTTTGTTGGGTTTTTTCCTAACTTTTTCAGCTGTGAATTTCATTCATTTATTTTCACTATTTTACTTTTACTGATAAAAGTATTTAGCTCTATGAAGTTTCCCCTACCTGCTTTAAATGTATTCCATAAATTTTATTTTATTTTATTTTATTTTATTTTATATTTTAGAGAGAGAGCATGAGCAGGGGGGGGGAGGAGAATGGGAAAGGGAGAAAGAGAATCTCAAGCAGGCTCCACGGTCAGTGCACAGACCAACATAGGGCTCGATCCCATGACCAGGAGATCATAACCTGAGCTGAAACCGAGAGTCCGTCGCTTAACCAACTGAGCCACCCAGGCACCCCTCCATAAAATTTCAATATATACTATTCTAATGATTAGTACTTCTTATAGATTCCATAATTTCTGTTCGTATTTTTTCATTTCACCCAAGAGTTTAATAGAAGGTTTTGTAATTATCAGTTTTAACCTTGGTGCTTCTGTCTCCTCTTCTCTTTTATGTACTTGGCTGGAGGGGGAGGAGGCAGGAATTAGGATACTGCTCACTCTCCAAAAGGCTTATGGCAGGGGCTTAAGTTGAACATACTGCTGAGAGTTGGGGTAAGGTGGTCCCCCTTAGCTGTGGGTGATGTGATCCAAGACCCCACTGGGTGCCTGAAACCATGATAGTACCAAACTCTGGTTTTTTTTCCTGTGTATACATACCTATGACAAATTTGAATTTATAAATTAGGCATAGCAAGAGATTAATAATAACAAATAATAAATTAGAACTGTGACCATATACTGTAATCAAAGTTATATGAACATGGTCTGTCTCTCAAAATGTCTTATTGTACTGTACTCACCCTTCTCGTGATGATATGAGACAATAAAATGCCTATGTGAGGAGATGGAGCATGGTGAATTACACAGATGCCATGACGTAGCTGACCATCAGTACTGACCCTCTGATCACATGTCAGAGGGAAGATCATCTGCATCCCGACTGCCGTTGACCACAACCAAAACCTGAGAAAGCAAAACCATAGACAAGGGCGACTACTGTATATTTTTCTACTTAAAAGCAGTTAAAGTGGCAATGTTATTTTTCTTCTGGTTAGGCTGACATTTTGGGTTATGTGGGCTATATTTGTTTCTCTTGTTGATCAGTACAGTTTTTTGGAGAGATTCAAACTTAGTGACAACCATTTTCCTAGGCTACCTGGAAGTCTCCACCATTGCTTTTAACTTAAACATTTCATTCCTTTGAACCAAAATTTTAATATTTAACATTTAATTAATCTGTCTTTAAAGTTTCTTGTTTCTCCTATCTTTTTCTTTCCCCGGAAACAAAATGTAATGTCCAATCTTAAAGCTATCACAGGTCAAAGAAACTCATGAATTATCTAGTCCAGCCTAAAACTACCACAGTTATCATTTCTACAACTGATCCAAAAAAGGACAGGAGGGAGATGGCTATTCAGGCTCTGGTTTCTTATTTTCAAATTTTCAAGACAACATATGCAAAATTTAGAAAGTTATACATATTTTGATTTTTGTTTTAGAGTTTTTTTCAGTGAAAAATATAGTCCTAGGAATTTTTGCCCATTGGTCTCATCTCAACCCGCAGTGTGAATACCCAAGCATACATGTGTACCCCAGAGAACACAGGATGACACAGAATAAATGCTCGTCTCCAAATATAGGAAGGGAATGAAGAAAAAAACATTATTTTGCATTATACCAATACAAACTTATAAAGTAGAATGCAATATTTGGATAGTATTTTTAAATGAAATGTGGGTTCTCAAAGAAATGTGACAAGTATCATTAAGGGTACGTTAGTGGAAAATCTGAGAAGCACTTCTCATCTAGAGTAACAGAAAAAATCATGTGTCTTGTATAGAGAGATTGTACATATAGCCTCTAGGGCTTTCATGTCCCTGTGAATTTTCTGTTCATAATCAGCATTCTTATGTTCTCATATTGTTCTCTACACGAAACAGTTTTCACAAGCTCAACTATCCCAGTCTTATTTTTCTATTTACTTTCTATTTGCAATAAAATAAAATTTCCAGAGCAGTTACAACACTCTAGGTATTACCAGATATTCTTACATGATCTGAACTTTATGTATTCTTTTATATGTGCAGTCTAACATTTAATTAGGATTGTTTTTTAACTCTGAATACTATGTTTGGTTCTTATGGCATTTGGAACTCCTAGGTATTTCTGATATGCATTGTTCTGTGTGTAAATATGTGTATAAATCAGTGTACCTACATATTTTATATAGATATTACATACATACCTAAAATATACAACTAATTTCTAGTTAGTTATAATATTAAACTTCATATTTGTCCACTTACATTTTACTTTGTCAATTTCAATTCCTTTGTCTAACTATTGAGATAATTTTGAATCTTGAATCTAAAAACCAGGGGTGCAGATGGGGGTGGAGATAAGGGTGGTTAGGGGTAAAAGTACTTGCATTTTTTTGAGTATAAGACCTAAAGCTACCCAAGATACTTACCAAAAAAAATTTCTTTAAACTAGCATTATAGATTGCCCCTACAATGCAAATAGGTTTCCCATAGGTTAAAAAAACACACTTTTGAAGTATTTATTTAATCCTCTGCTTTAAAATTATGGTGAACAGAATATGCCTGGATATAATTTCAGTGGCATTCAGCAAGAGAACCCCTCCTCCAGACATCAATCTCTATGATAAAATTATTATTCAGTTGCTGAGTTATATATGAAACCCCCTCTATTACTCTCCATTGCACATTTCTCCATCTGGTCCACAAGAATATTCTAATATACTTTGCTGACATGACATGGTGTTTTGTTTTGTTTTTTAATTTGGTAGACTTTGATGGATGCTCATTAACTAAGACATGGCCTCTCCACATGACTTTCTTATGGAGAAAGGAAGGAAAGAAGGAATGAGAGAGAAGGGAAGGAGGGAGGGAGGGGGGAAGGAAGGAAGGAAGAAAAGAGGGAAGGAGGGAGGGACTAAAGAGAAGGAAGGAGGAGAGGGAAGAAAAGAAGAGAGAAAGGAAGGGGAGAGAAAGAGAAAGTAGGGAAGGAGGAAAGGGGTAGGAAAAACAGGAAGGTAGAAAGAAGGGAGGGGGAGGCGAAGGGAAATATAGCTTCAGCATAAACCTTAGTGAATAGTTTGAAGTTGGGATCTCAAAGTAAAGCAATTGGCTTTAAATGGATGCTAGGAAGAACAAGAAAATTTCTCTCTAGTCAACAACTGTGAAAAATTTGGTCAATAGGAAATCAATAATAACTTTCTTCTCCAAAAATAATAGTGCTTGAGACAAGGGCTTAATTGAATAATGTTAAAAGCAAATATAGTATCACTGAGAAAAAAATTAAAGTTTTTCTAAAGAATTAAAATACAAAGAGCACCAAGAATCTAGTTATGATATATACAAAGTCATCACGAAAAATTTCTCCTGACATCAAAACGAGAAAGAAGGCAGGAAGGAGAAACAAAGTACTAAAAAACAGATGGAAGAAATAGAAAAATGATAGACTTAAATTCAACAATATTTGCATTATATATAAACGGACTACACAGTCCAAGTAAAGACAGAGATTGTCAGGCTGAATTACAGAAAAGGACAACTACATTCTCTTTACAAGAGATACATTATTAAATATGTATCACAGATATGAAATACATAGGTTGACAACGAAAGAACAGAAAAGTCTATAACCACGCAATCAATAATCATAAAGTATGGCTATATTACTATCAGGCCAAGGACACCTCAAGAACATGAAATATTATCAAAAGTCAAAGTCAGGAAGACATAAAAATCGAAGCACGGTATGAATGCACCTAACACCATAACTTCAAAATACTGCAGACCAGATGCTTTCCGACACCTGATTTTCTGTTAGGGAATACAGAATACTCAATGTAGGAGCTTTTCTCTCCAGCAGATTTTTATTTAGTATTAATATATATCTTAACATTAAATATCCCTGGGAAAGTTCCTCAGCCATCGTTAATAATAGTAATGATCAGGATAGCAAGAGCAACAACTACTACTAGTGTTTATATGCTCCCTATATTCCAGATACTATGCCAAGAAATTTACCTATCTTGTCTATGAAGATGTTATTTTTTTTCCTGTTTCAAAGATGAGGAAAGTAAAGATTATAAAGAGGTGAAAGGATTTTTAAATAGTCATATTACTAGCAGATGGATGGGCTACAATTCTTCACTGCTCACACTGACATCTTAAAGTGAATTATTCTAATGAGCCAACAGGTTTTTCTCTTTCTAATAGCTACTTAAATAACTAGACATCTGATTTGAGATAGGGAAAAAAGTTAAGAATGGGAGCTTTGGAAGAGAGCAGACCAAATGAAGAAAATATCAGAGGGTGTGGCTAGAAGTCCATGAATTTCTGGGAATAAGGGGAAGTGAATCATACTGGTGGTACAGACATAGGTGGGAATCACCCCACATTTAGATAGCAAGCAATATTGATATGGTAGCATCTTTAGTCACTGATTACTGCCTGAGATTTTCCTTAATATATATGTATCATTTTAAGATGGATGGATGGATGGAAGGAAGGAAGGAAGGAAAAAAGAGAGAGAAAGACCTTCCTTTAACACTGAATTGAGGGAATTATGATTAGTTGAGTGTATGGATATGTGCATTTATTACCACCTTCTCCCAAACCTCACTAAAATGACAAAAGTAAGATTTTTTAAAAATGTTTAAAACCCTCCTGGACAAAGAGAATGAGAAGGAGACAACAGCAAACAAGAAATGTCAACTAATTTTGTAAAGATGCAAAGAGAATACAGGATTGATGTCAACTTAAATCAGAGCAAAGGAAGCACAAACCTATGGGCCCCCAGAGGGTAATATCAATGAGAAGCAAATTGGTTTATCCCTGAAGAACCTTTAAAAGGTTCAGGAATTGGAAAATAAGGTATTACACAACCTGAAGGTCAAGTTTGGAGGTAAGAAAGGGAAACTGACTTAAAATGTGCATAAGAAGCAGTTAAATTCTTGGTTTCTCTCTTCTGCCTTCCACTTCAAGGTAATTATCCATTTCTTATTCTAAAAGGAGAATAAGGGTCTCTTTCCTAAAGAAATGGAAACAGAAAAAAAAAAAAAAAAAAAGAAATGGAAACAGAAATGCTCCACCTTGAAGACATCAGGCACAGCTGAAAGCAAGGATAAGGTGCTAGATGGAAAAAAAAGAGATTAAATCTGTTTATTGAAAAGTGACACAGCCTTACCATCTCTTCCTCACCTAGTTGCCAGAATGCCTACAGATTGGATCCTAACCTCTTGGGCATTGTGGTTGACAGCTTTCCAAAATGCTTCCACATAATCCCTGTCTGCTGGCATTCACACCCTTGCTTTCCTTGTATGTGGGCTGGACCCAGTGACTCAGTTCTAACAAATAAAATGTGGAAAAAGTGATGGAAAGATTAGGTAACTGAAGACTGTCTCATCTCGCTGACACTCTCTCTTGGCTTCTTGGCCTGCTTACTTTAATGAAGCAACTCATCATGTTGGAGAGACTCCAGTGGCAAAAAACAAGGCAGCTAACATACAGAAAGGAACTGAGGTGCTCAGTCCAACAGGCCACAAGGGACTGAATCCTGCCAATAACCTCATAACTGAGCTTGGAAGCAGATCCTTCCCCAGTCAAGTCTTGAGATGACTAGAGCCCTAGCTGCCCCCCTTGATTACAGACTTTGAGGCACCCTGGGACAGAAGAGGCAACAAGCCACACCCAGATCCTGACATGAAGAAACTGTAAGATAAATGCTGTTTCAAGCCATTAACGTTTTGGGATAGTTTTTATGCAGAAATAGATAACTAATAAAGGCATTTTGGAACATCCCTCTATCAAAAACCTGAGTGACCAAGATAAAAGACCTACAGAAATGGACATCTGGTATACTCTCAACAACAACAACAACAGAAGCCTGACCACCCTACAGTAAAGTCCACAAGCCAATAAATTCTGCACAGC